TGGGGATTAAACTTGTAGCGGCGCTGTCATCGCGCCGCAAGCGAAACACACCGAAGCCTAAATCACGCTATCAACATTCCGAATCATAAACAGCATATATAGAACATGTCCGAACTATCACACGGAGTGTTGGCCGCTCCCCGGGCAGAACACCTTGCCCGGCGGGAGATCTCTCCTTTTCTTACCACGGCCACAGTGGTGACCCCGACGTGATTTGAACACGCAACCAAACAACCTTCGGAAACTTCAAGCTTTATCATCGTCATAGAATACCCCACCCATTCGCTCCCGAACAGATATCGTCTGCAGTCTTCATATCCTGCAAGCCATCTAGCTTCACAAGGTTCATCGCAGCACTGGAATAATAATGCTTCCTGTTCCTTCAAGCTACTCTCTGCGCTATACAGTGTTCGGCACGGCTCTGAGCCTTACTGCTCGCCTCTGCTTTACGGCACTCTCGCAGATTACTTGCCTTCTTCTCGACTCACCGCAGACTACAAGGCAATCTCCTGGCACTTGCACATTCGTCGGCAACGAGGCTGCACTATCGACCTCCGGTCTGAGCAGGGGTGATGTAGCGGCGCTGTCATCGCGCCGCAAGCGAAACACACCGAAGCCTAAATCACGCTATCAACATTCCGAATCATAAACAGCATATATAGAACATGTCCGAACTATCACACGGAGTGTTGGCCGCTCCCCGGGCAGAACACCTTGCCCGGCGCTAGATCTCCCCTTTTCTTACCACGGCCACAAACTGAACTAGATTTAGTCACCCCGAGTCCGAGATTTTGTTCAACAAAGTCTCGACTTCAGACACAAGTTTGTCCCGGTCCTTGTGGAACACCAGCGTTAATGGGCTTGTAATATGAGCATGCACCGTCTACGACCTTGATGCTCCGGTCAGCAAGAAAACTGATTCAATTACACAATTTCTCGGGAAGCTCATAGGAAGGAAGCTTAGTAAGAAGCGCTTTGTGCCAAACCCGTTTGAAGGCCTTCGCTATGTCCAAACTAACGGCCTACGCCTCCCCTTTGGACTCTACTACCTTCGCATTTTGAGTTAGGTAATATAGAAGATCACCAGCCGAGCGACCGCGATGGCAACCGTACTGGCGGTCATTAATCAGCTGATGATCCTTAAGGTACTGCATGAGCTGGCTGTTAATAATAGATTCCATTATTTTAGAGAACAAGGAGGTGATGGCCATAGGCCCATAGTTGGACGGATCAGAGCAGTTACCTTTGTTAGATCGGGTGCACGAGGGCTGTCTTCCATAATTTCGAGACTACGCCTAGGGAGTAGGAGTATCGGAAAAGACGCGTTAGGACTGGTGCCAACTCCGAAGCACACGTCTTCAGCACAGTAGGAGGGATGCCATCAGGCCCACTCGACTTGTTGATGTCCAAGGAGAGGAGTGCTCTGTGCACCGAGTGTTGGGTAAACAGCACATCCTGCATGGAGCACTCACACTGCGGGCTGATCGGGCAGTGTGTTCCCCCCGTCGTCAATAGTCGAGTTGGACGCAAAGAGAGAGCCCAGTAGATCGGCTTTGTCCTTTGCGGCTGGGGCCAGTGAGTCAACCTCCCTGTGCAGAGATGGAAGAGATGGCTGGCAGAAGTTCCCTTGGACAGCCTTCCTGAAGGAAGAAGAACAAGTTTCTCGCCAATTCTGCCGATGTGCTCTGACTTACCTTGACAATGATACTATTGAAGGACCTGGAAGCAGAATAATACTTCTTTTTAAGAACGATAGTATTTACATCCAGAGACATTGATGCGCGAGCCCAGGCTTGGTAACACTCCTGCGTATGATGTAATGAAATTTCGCGGGAGCGACCAAACCAAGAATGGGGTCTGCCTCCGATAGTTAATCTGATAATTACCATAGATGATGGAATAAATAGTTCCATTCCCTGTAGAACCACACCAGCGACAGAATCAGCAGCAACGCTGGGATCATCCGGCGAGAAGCAAACCGGCCTCCCAGTGTAGGATGCAAAAAAGATCGCATCCCGTCCCAATCGGCTGACCTATAATGCCAAACATGGCGGCAATCTGCAGTACACAACCGCGATGGGAGCGTAAATGGCACCGTACTACGGATCAGACAATGGTCCGAGGAGCCAAGAGGGGCACCCACGGAGACTGTCTGTCCGGATGAGAGATCAGTAGAAGGTCCAACAGAGGAGGTACATGATCTTCCACATCTGGGATCCGCGTAGGCGAGGTAACCAGTTGTGTCAGACCATATGCCAAGGCAAAGTCATAAACAGATCTACCCCCATGATCGGTCAAACGATAACAAAGCCACAAGGCTTTCGAGGCGTCAAAAACAGATTCCTCTATGACGTAAACGCAAACTCCAGCCCGGGACAGAAAAGAGTGTTTTAATCTGTACCCCGAATAGGAGAGATGTGAAGTGTCATCCGGAGAGGACACCTGTGTCTCGGTTAGAAAGAGCAAGGTGGGCTTCGCCGTTTCCAGATGGTGTGGACGGCGTTAAGGTTTGAATGAAGTCCCCGGCAATTGCAGAAATCCACGGATAGCGTGGCAGGGGGTGCCTTTGACGTATGCTCCGTTTGCCCTGAGCAGGTTTAGTCTCGAGCGGAATTTCGCCCCCCCCCCCCGTACCCTCCAGAATACATGGGGCAGTCTGAATACCCACGCTCAGGAAGAGTAGGGCAGTTTTTGCATGGATGCTCAGCAAGGAATTCTCCGTCACCGGGGGTGCTGGTACCCTCTTGGGATAGTCATATATTTAACTCCGCTACCATCATAGATTACTGTGTATATACTAGAGAGCTACCACGTTAACTAATAAACCTTTCGCACTCGTTAACAGGGTATGGCGGCGTCATTTCCGTCCCACTCTTTTACAGCAATCAAAACATTATCCTTCCGGCTGTTGCGCGCCACAGTTGATGGCACTATCGATGATGATCCATCTGGTCTCAAGTATCAGAAACAGGAGTGTCAAGATCTTTCTGGAACTCTCCCAACAGCGCCATCTAGTAACAAATGGAAGAATTAAGCCTTCTAGAAACCCCACACTCAAACTTTCTGCGCCTGGTCGGCGCCCGTATTTGCTGGAATATTCTGGATGTTTCGGTGGAAGAGCCCTATATAAAGCCGTTGATAGCCGCGAGCGATTGAATTTGGCGATACAAGCGAAGCTTCGGAGCGAAATAAAGTGAACCAGTTTGATTAATTATTAGTGTCTTTAAGTTTTAATTGGTGTTCAGTAATTAAAGTGATAATTTTGGTAATTCAATCGGCAGTTTTTTACAACATTTACGGAATGAGGTTCCTACAGTCGTTTCGTAACTGACGAGAATGATTCGGGCTATGAAGATTCTATTAGATTTAATTAACTAATAGAATTTAACTATACTAATATTGTTGATAGCTTAAATCATGGTTATTAAATCAATAAAAAATCATTAATATTTTACATTCTTTATGTAATCTCTCTGATCGTGCCATTTGTTGTCAGTTTAAGGTCAGATCCACGTTTGATCATCTTGATTTATTGTAACTCCATCGCGTGGCGCAGACTGATATTGTAATGATCGCTATTATGGACGTATTTTTATATATTATGACGACACAATACTTAATAAGCTACGTCTCATCTCTGTTCTGTTTCCCCCCGATCACCACAAGGGATACTACACGAGGTATAGTACACGCTGCTACATAGACTTGAAAAGTTTTCCACGTTTAATAAACGTAAGCCGATATGCTGTTATAGTCAAAGATTTAAATAGTTAGATGCGCCCTTACCATAGTACGACCACTCCGAAATGTGTCCATTCTCAAATGAGTGAGCTCACTCATTCGCAATCAGTGCTCATTTGTGCGACAGAGAAAGCAGTATACACAATTTCTGTAGGATAATAAGAGAAGACACTATTGCATTAGTCAGCGTCTTGCAAACGAACACATCCACAAATAATGCCACAGTTTTCAAGTAGAAGGCGCATCTAACTATTTAAATCTTTGGTTATAGTACGATATTAGAAAACAAGAAGACTGTGAACGCGTTTTTGACACGATACGTCTGGTGATATACAATATGGTCTATATATTCTATTCTATCTATATATATATATATATATATATATATATATATATATATATATATATATATATATATATATATACTAATATTCTTTATTGCACACCATACAAAATTAGAGATTATATATAAAAAATAAGTATGCAATGGGCAGTCTTATTGCTGCTGACAGCAATTTTTTCCAGACATCCAATATAGATTACACAAAGATGACCGAGGTAGGGCAAATTGGTGTGATAAAAAAAGAATACACATATTTAAATATATATATATATATATATATATATATATATATATATATATATATATATATATATATGTACACCTACTAGAATCATATAAACATACAAAACATATAATAAATATATATAGATTTATTTAAATAATTGAATTCAATATACTACATATTATAATATATTTAATGGCTAGTGTGGGAGCGGAGTTACAATTTAAAGTGCAAGGGATGGTGTGCGTTTTACTGCCAATAGGAGTTCATTCCATAAACGAAAGGCCAGTACAGTAAAAGACTTGTTCATAATTTAGGTACTAGTGTGTAGTGGCATATTCAATTTCAAGCTCTCTGCTGATCTCAGGTTTCGCGAATGGGAATCACGAATAAACTCAAAATGATTTTGAGGTAAGAAGGGTCGATAAGATGATCAAATGGAGACCAAGTTTTATAAGGTTTAATTGGTAACATTATGCCATAAATAGTTATTTTCAGAAATATTTATGTGCCTCATACATACGTCATAATACCTCAAAAATCGTTTTGAGTTTCTTCGTGAATATTCAATAAAACAATATACGATAAGATGATCAAATGGAGACCAAGTGTTATAAGGTTTAATTGGTAACATTATGCCATAAATAGTTATTTTCAGAAATATTTATGTATCTTCGAGCTTGTTTGGGTCTATTAACCAGTAGTTGTTTTCGTATCACTGCTTCGAGAAGAGATAGTTTGAAGAGAAATCAAAGGCTTCGTAGTGAAATCAACCTCCATAAACACTTCTTGATTAACAACGTCACGCGAGCCGTCCACACCACATCTAAGAAACTTGTTGTATTTTGTTAAATCGGTGAATCCCACTCCACAGGGGCGGTCGACTAGACGTGATGTCATCATACCGAGAACATAACCGGAGCAAACTACTACAGATCCCACGTCATCCTGCAAACATATAAATGATTTTATGTCTGCCTAGGCCACACACATCGCGATAGAATTCCGGCGATAAAACTTCTTCGGCCTACTGCGAAGGTGCGTTGTAAAGTTTATCTATAGTTTATCGCTATAAACATTCGTTAAACACAAAATGGACGCCGCGGTCGCTCTATAACATTATATACTATCAAATAATTATTTTTGCAACGTTCTTTGCAACAGGGGACAGCTTTTGACGCCTACATTATTTATTCAAAATGTCTCATCAAATTATTTATCATCTCATTACTTCAAAAAATTGTCACTGTCGAAAATACATTGTAAATCCTAATTTTATTATAAACGTCCGCTACGCACGATGTCTGTGGGTCGCCTGCAGTGTGGTCGCACAAGCGTAGTTCAACACGATAAAACGCTTTGATGTGCAAGAGTTTACCGACAGCGAAGCGATGCGCTTGCGACTTAGCACGAAGTGACGAAGTATTCACGAATATGTGGCCACATACCATACATCGATGCAATGTGTGTGACTGTGGCATTAGAAAGGCTTTTTTAATTTATATTTAACTAATACTAACAGTACAGTAGCAACAGTAGTAACATTTGTGACAGTTTTTTGTTGGGCTGGGTGGCGAACTTTTAATAATGGTAGTGCAAAAAGTTTGGAGAATCCAAAAGTGCACGCCTCATAATTTAAATTGATTATATAAAAAGAAAAATATCTCTTTTTAAATATTTGAGACGAAAGAAGAGATCCATGAGAATATTTTTTGTATAAAAGTACTAGTTGTTTTTTACATTTTCATTAATTACAATTAAACTAGAGAAAATTACTCAGTGATTTTTAAAAGGAACCTGTGCGTTGAGATTCTAAACCTAATAAAAACAGAATTATTTTGATAAGTACATTAATATATAGATAATTCTAACGACCATAATCGTGCGCCATCCACACATTTTTTTTTCAATCAGTTTGTTTTAACACTAAATACAGAAAATTACTTTTGAGAATAATAGATAATGAAAACGAATGATTTTTTTCTATATATGTGTATTTTTATTATTCTAAAAGTGCAATAGTAAAAAATAAAGACATTTTTAGCTCAGAAAATTACTGGATTACCATTAGGTGAGAGTGGTGGTTGGAATTCGAAATCTTCTATAAAATACGTGATATTATATAGGTGGATTATATAGGAATCATATTGACAACATTTTTTCCCGAGATTTTTCAATTTATAATATAAGAAATAAATCATAATGATTGCTAACGTTTACGCGAACTTTACACATTTAAATAAAGCTAGTTTTTACGAATTACGTATATCGAGTATATTAACTTATTATATATTCAATACGTTTCAAGCTTCCCTATATAAAAAGTACACTGAATTTGGAGCACTTTACAGCACCCATGGTCACGGGAGGGACTGAGGTGTTCGAAGGTGGGGTAATGTAAAAAATCTAAGAGAGACCACATTCATAATTAATCTTGTACACTCCTGAATCTTGCATAGGGACATTACACTTGACTGATAGTAACAACTGACTAATCTTCTTCGGTGGCTTGAAGTATGTTTTAATAGAAGCACGCTTCAAGATGTAGCTAATCTTGCCAGTGACACGTCTGACATATGGGAGTACAGCAGGCTCGATACGAGCCGGCTTCAGTATCGAGCCTGCTGCGAAACGCATACAACTGCAAGACTTCAAGATACTATAAGTAGATCGTAATAAAAAATAATAATTTTAATTTGGTGGTAGCCTTGGTTAACTATAAGTTTGGGACATCAAACACCTCAGTACTTCCCCCCACCCCCCCTGACTATGGGTGCTATAAAATTCTCTAAGCATCGGGTATTTATACATATAATAAATCTGTAGAAAAGTCGTATCCGTAACTCTAATAAATACCATTGACTTATATATTACTAGCGTAAATACATTTTTCTGTAATTGTGAGCCGACGATCTACTTTTTTTCTTTTAGTTTTCAAACAGCGCCATCTGTCATCAAATTGACAGTTACTAATAAAATAATAATAACTTACACAAAGATGTTCTATAGGAACTTACATTTGTATATGTTTAAATAATTAAATTTATGAAATTATTTGTGCTAACTTTTTTTAGTTTTTTCATTTTAAACTTTTTCTTTTAGTTTTCGTTTTTTGATTTTAAAAGTCTTATAATATAAACAGATAATACTGTATGAAAATTGATATGGTTTTAGGTTTATTTACTAAACTAATTAAAACTGGTCTGCCTGCATTTTTTTTTCAAAAATTAATTACTGTTGTGTATTTTTTTATGTAGTTTTTTTATTGTGCAGTTTGATCGAATAGATTTATATATATATATATATATATATATATATATATATATATATATATATATATATATATATATGTGTGTGTGTGTGTGTGTGTGTGTGTGTGTGTGTGTCGTTGCTAGATCGTAGAACAGATCATATCATAAAGTACGCTATCATTTTGTGAAATGGTGTTTTCATGATACTTATCACTTTTTGTGGACCACGTCATGATATAGCTTAACAAAATCAATGAATACAGATCTTTTGACGATATTATGATATGATCATATCGTCATAGTTCATAGTGTGGTCATAGTTCGTAAGAAATCCAAATTCGATTTTGAAGCAATTTTAAGTGTCGATTTACCACGTTCTCGGCAGTGAAGAAAAACATCGTGAGGAAGCCTTCATATCTGAGAAGTCCTCCAGTTGAGGTCATCCAGCGTTGGTGTCAGCGCAGAGAACACTTCATTTGGCCCAAAAGTATCTGCGGCCTGCGCCCAGTTGTGGAATTTATGTAGGCTGCTACTTTCTTACTTGATATGATTCAAATATTACAAGTAAACACATAATACCGTAAATTAATTGACGACCATGTAATACATTATTATTTCGTTAAAACTAAATTAAGTTTAATTATGAATAAATGTATAGATTAAGATGTAAATAATGCAATGTTGATTTTATCTTTCTTAATGGATATCGGAAGATACGAATTTTCGATCGAATTTTGTTAATTTTGGCACGGAACTGCATATAAAGATGTTCCTAAATTGTAGCCCACGCGAGCAAAACCGCGGTTGAAAAAGCTAGTATAAAATAAGTTAATATATGCAATATAATCCGTAAAAACTAGTTTTATTGAAAAGGAATAAATCAATCCAGAAATTATGAAGATCGTGGACGGTACATGGATAGTCTCGTCAATACTCATGTATTTACCCTCGATAAATAATCAAAATTCAGACGCGTTTTCAATGCTGAGAACTGACTGCCTCGTTACTGAATACATTATTTTTTTTTGTTTAATTTATAATTTGTTTGTTATTTTTTTTGTTTTGTTTTGGTATTCTCTTTCAGTTTTTTATTATAGGTCATGTACCAGCCGCTTTCATGAACAACTGCAACACCAGGGGTAGGGTTACCATCTGACCGGATAAAGCCGGTCTACACCGGATTTTTACGTGTTAGATTTTACGTCAGACCGGATTTTTGTCATACTTACATGTCCTCCCGTCCGCTCAAGCGACGGATGCCGCACCTACTCACGCACTGAGCCCGGAACCGGAACGCAAGCGCAAATTAATGTAAACAAAGCTACTTGTGTTTATTTCTCGTCGTACGCACGCATCGTAATAATGGCGTCCGCAAACAAAAAACGTTGTAAATTCACGGATGTGTTAAAATCTAAATATCCTTCTTTTACTGAGGGTAGAAATGACCAAGAAGTGAAGTGTACTATTTGTGACTGTTTTGTGTCGATTGGATACAAAGGTGGAGCTTTTGGAAAGGTGGAGTTTATAGTTATATTGCGTAAGCAATATAACTATAAACTCATGATGTGTGATAAACACGTGATGTGTGAACAATTTTATTGCGAAATAGCTGGAAAAAACAACTTTTTGCATGCGATTGCTGGCAACAGCTAAATAATATAAGGAAATAAAAACGTACTTAAATACTATGATTTTTATTTAATTCAGGTGCGTGACCGGATTTTTTTTCAAAATCAGGATTTTTAGACATGTCAGACAGGATTTTGCATTTTTAGGCCTGGTAACCCTAACCAGGGGAATTGCTGGCGCGTTGTCCACTATTTAAAAAAGTCCGGGAAAATTGCTGATGGTAAATGATTTCGCAAAGAAGTCATGCAAGGACGAAAACTCCCTATAAATCACACACTGTTCATCCGCAATGTATTCTGGTATCGTGAGTTTTGTCGCGAAATGTGTTGATGAAATTTGGCCGTTGGAACCCGTCAGAGCAGACCGTGACCGAATTTGTGCCCTAGGCGGGAAAGGTGCGAAGTATCAGCCGAATAGGACACCTGCGTCTCGTTGAGGAAAAGCAAGGCCGACTTCGCTGTCTCCAGATGTTAGTGGGCAGCGTTAAGGGGATATATTAAGTCAGCTCAAATTCTAATTTCGTCCCCACTTGCCCGCGCGTCGTATGCTATGTACCGACATGTTTGTAATCACTAATACTGCAAGTAGAAAGGTCGTTAGACACTTATTTCATTAGGTTTATCATATTTATGCCTGTTTCTTAATGCCAAGCCAGTCGCTTCTTATTTTTATTACGGTTATTTCCCATTTTAATTTTACGTCGTCCTGTTGCGTAATGTATATTCTGATCGTAAGCGACACAACCTCCTCCTTCAAAGGCCGAAGCGAAGTAACCGGGCGGCAGGAATCACGCTTCAAGAGGCCGATAGTTTAGGTAATTTCTTTTTACAGTGAAAATAATGGTATTTTAAAAAAGTAAATAACATAAGCACTGCTTTATAGTTAGTTCAGTTAGTATGCAAAGTTTCATGATCTTATTTAAAGAATTTTATGAATAACAGCGGTTTATTGTTTATTTTGGAGGTAACTTTGGATTTTTTTCTATCGAGAATATTTTACGAAATCGTGTTTTCGTCTAACATAATCCTTAACATTAATCCTCAACTTTACCATATATTTATTTCAAAACTAATGCTGCAATATTTCGGCATAACACAGGATCTTGCTAAGCCATTTGAGATTATATTTCCCCTTAAAGTTTGAACGAAATCTCCTAATGTTTTAGAAAAGCATGTACGTTTGCCCCCCGTAGTGCTAGTAATGAGCGGGACTTTGCCCCTTCCGCCTCCAGAATACGTAACTTTGTATTTCATCGTGTATTTATTCCTTACAGCCTTTGAAATTTCCTCCCTTATAATTTGCCCTATAGGCCTCCCCTTTAGTTTGCCTCATAGGGAAACTATGGGAGACTCAAGTATGCTTTATGATAATCCAAAAAGTAGCGTTAAAGCTTGGATTTCTTACTCTGGATTGTTTATAAGAGTGCATAACAACTCTTATAAACATGATAAGTAAATGTTTACGAAATTGCGTTGGAATTTAATGCGATGAACTTCGCAATAAAATATAACATGGTGGTACATTTACTCTTTAAAGCATTCTATTTTTTATGTATTTGATTATGGTTAGACATTGTATAACGTGTAAATCTATTAACATGGAGTGGTAATGTAGTTTTTTACGACCATGTTAAACGAACGTAGGTTGTTCAATAAATATATAAATTGTACTTACCGGACACAATGCTCCATGCCTTGCAGACTGTGAAACATAAATATATCGTAAAATATTCGATGTTTTCTAGTGTCAATACGAAAATGAATTATATATAGGTATTATGAAATGAATTCAATGTTCAAAAAAACAAGAAAAAATGTTCAAAAGGATACCTTACAATGTGGCTGACGAATACAAAGATATTTGCTTTTATGGTTCCATATTGGAAGGCAATTCTCGGGGGGTAAAACTGTAACGTCCACACGATAAAGATCAATCAATAATGGGACTAGAAACCCCTGAAACAAATATTCTTCTTTGGTTTACTAAGTTACGAATCGTTTTTCTTAAAAATAAAGGATAAAATGCGAGTACACTAAGTATACGGTGTGATTCTAATACAACAAAAGATATATTTTTATAAGTCTGTAACAGCTGTATTTTTAGAACACTTTTTACTGACAACGTGGCATTCGATTTTATTCCTCAGGAATAACATTTTAATTTTAAGCGAGTATCCATGTGTATAAGGGCCATAGTATCATATATCTACCACATTTTTTACGTGATAGAACAACGATGCAGCTACATTATGGTTTCAGCACGAATAGGGCGCTCGACGGGTGAAGAACCACGCTCTCCCAGAATACTGTTGCGCGACTAAGTTCACATCTGGCACTAGCGCCATCTAGTGTCGGGTAACAGAGCGAAGAGAGAGCTTTCCAGAAAGTGACATCACTAATCTTACAACCGACAGCGCCATCTAGTATCGAATTGAAGAACTAAGCTTTCTGGAAGCCCCAAACTCGAACTTTCTGCGCTTGGTCGGTTGGCGCGCGTATTTACTCGAATATTCTGGATGTTTTCGTGGAAGAGCCCTCTATAAAGGCGCTGCGATACGCGATCGGGGCAGTATTGAATTTGGCGAGACAAGCGAAGCTTCGGAGCGGAATAAAGTGAATTAGTGTGCTTAATTATTGGTGTTTTAAACTTTAATTTGTGTAAAGAAAATTAAAGTGTTAATTTAGGTAATCCTATCGGCAATTTTTATTGTCACGAACCTCAAGTCCGTAACAATACGTACACGTACATATGTACGTACGTACTTACGCATTTTTACAGAAAAGGTGACAAGCAAGCATGCGGCTCATCTGATGGTAAGTGTTGACCGCCATCTATGAACAACTGTAACACCAAAGCAACTCCTATTCATTGAAGATGTAGGGTTTAGCAGTGAACTATAGCCATAGCACCGATCACAATACATCTTTTGGGTCGCAGTGCTCTCTCTCTCTCTAGATCTGCATATCTTTTGAGGTGCCAGGCTTTTAAAAATCTATCGGTTCGGAATAATTGCATAAACAATTCCATAAAGTCGTGTGAGGAAAAATACTACCAGTAAATTGCACAGTGGTGGAGCATAAATATAGAGTATCCATATAGAGCGTATGGTAAGTGTAGAGAACCAAAAACCATTATTCCTCAGTGGTGATAACGGCTCTATATTTTGATAACCAAAGGTAAATGTAGGTGTATATAGACCACAGCATCAACTTACTGTCAGGTGAAGTGTGAACTCATTTGTCACCCTTATCCTCTCAGCCCCCAAGTGGTCGCATGCGACCGCACCGACACACAGCACTTTACACCTTAAAACTTATATTTATTCTTATCTCATTAATATATATTTGTCTTCTTTACTTAGTAAATGATATATGTATCTTTTCTATTTATCTATCTACTGATAAAGAAAAAAGTTGAAAATGGAACTCTCTCATAGGCTCTTAGCAGGCAGGTGAATTAGTAACATCATTTAGTGTCTCGTAGCTTTTGCACTGCACTCTATTATAGGCCTGGATATTTAACATTTCGTATATATGAAATGGTTAATGGTCAAACCACATTTGTTGAGAGGCCGTAAGAGCTTTATGGAGTTTCCCCGAAAGAGATAATCCGTTTGTGTTGCAGATATAATACAACTGTACTATATCACGTAGAACTAGTAATATTTATGATAGGTATAAAATATCTTGTGAAAATTGAATATCTAGAACAATTCACTCTTCAGGTGGATTGTGTTACACATACTCACATTTCTTCTGCTACCCCATCCGTAAAAACTACAGGATTTATCGTTAATTCGATTTTCAACACGCGGTGCCGAAGCTCCGTATCGTATCCTGTTTAAAACGTACTGAGCGCCATTTTCGGGCGCATGAAATGAAAACTGCTGGTTAAGTATCATCAATGCGAGATTGTCAGTGGTACAGTCTTTCCATCGCATTGTATGATTGTATCCTGTAAATTAAAAAACGTATTGAAATCGGCTGCCATACAAAATTGTAATAAATATTAAATGCTTCTCTGTATGAACTCCTCCTCTTATAAACTCATCAACCCGACATATATTTCCTACTGCTGATATATAAGTTATCCACTCGACAAAACAGCGAACAAGCGACAGTAGCCTAATGGCAGGCGTGGACCGCAAACTCAAAAAGGTCGTAGGTTTAAATCCGCCATTCGATATTACCCTCGTAGTAAAGGGGAATATTAATAATGTTTATAGCATTGTTAATATTCTTTATAAAAAATAATAAAAAAAAATAAAAAATAAAACTATAGAGCTCCCTTTCAACCTATGTGGTCTGGATCACTCAATGTGTAATGGTTGGAAGGATAAGTTTAATATTCAGGCGGCGAGGCATTTCATCTTAGTCCTGGGCGGCTACCGGTTACTACACAACTGTGACCTCGACATCATTGTTGCACGTTAATTGAATGCAGTAGCCATTTTCAATCAGGTGGACCATCAACTCTATGTCACTATGTCTGTTATTAATTAATTAATTTAATATAAGTTACTATTTTTTTTCCAATGTTCAGTCTGTAGCTCTATTTCTAGGAATAAATGATTTTTTATTTATTTATTTTACAGTCGCAAGGCATTTAATGAGTGGACGACAGCTGGAATTCATAAGAGCAGCATCATATAATCTTTCCATTCTTTTAGAGAATATGTCAAAAATTATTCCAAAATGTTGAAAAGAATGTGCTCCACTGCCAAATCTTTACATATTGGCAACAAAATTAAAACCGCTAAAAATAAAATTAAAATGACGTGGAGTTATAATCTGTAGCGAAACCGGTAAGACAAACCTCGTCATACAAATTATCAATTGAAAATGAATAATGAATTGACTAGATCAAATCAAGAAGTGGTGTTTGAGAAATATTTATTAAAAATAAATTACTCCATTAAAATCAATTTGGTTTCACAAGGGGTCGCTCGACGCAGGTGGCGTGCTTATGAAATATTTTTTTAATGCCCGGGAGAGTTGAATAGATTCTTTAGGTGTTTTTGTGATCTTTCCAAGGCTTTCGATTGTGTTCATCATGAGATATTAATCACGAAACTACAAAATTACGGTGTCAAAAATATTGCGCTTAGACTTATTATTTCATATTTAAATAACATAACTGAAAAAATCGTCATCAATGCTAAAGGTTCCTCCGGATCAGAAGTATCAATGGGCGTTCCTCAGGGCTCGATTCTTGGCCCATTCCAGTTCTTAGTCTATATTAATGACTTACCTTATCTTGTAGGGTACAATCATGATATAGTATTATTTGCTGATGATACCTCTTTAATTTTCAAACTCAAACGACAGTCAATTAATTTTGATAATGTAAATATTGCTCTATCGAAATTAGTACATTGGTTTAACGCTTAACGTTTTAAAATACCTAATGTAAATTCAAATACCAATGTGCTCTTAAGTGGGGAAGAGTTGAGTCTTGTGAATACCACTGTTTTTCTTGGTATTACTATTGACGCGAAGCTTCAATGGGGCTCCCATATATCTGAATTAGCAGGCAAACAACTATTTTTGCAGCTTATGTTGTAAGAAAGATTAGAATTCTCACCAATGTTGATACAGCTAGATTAGTTTATTTTATTTACTTTCATAGCGTAATGTCTTATGGAATCTTACTAAAGATAATGCGAATGACATTGAAATCATATTTATTTTGCAAAAGAGAGCCATACAGGCTATTTATAACTTAAATTGTAAAGAGTCTCTTAAAAAATTTTAAAAAATAAACACATTAACTTTGGCATCGCAATATATTTATAAAAATGTAATGTACGCACATAAAAACATAAATAGCCTCTATAAGAATAAAGATGTTCATACTTTAAATACTAGGAACAAACATAAGCTGGTAATACCAGTTACTGGGCTTTACAGAATTAGTAATTCATTTATGGGGTAATGTACACGTTTTTACAACAAAATCCCATAAAATGTACAAAGTTTGTCATTAAACAAGTTTTTAAGGAAAAACTGTACAAAAAGGGTAATTATAATGTAAAAGAATCCATAAATGAAAATAACCTCTGGGAATGAGGTGATCGCCACCATGCTGGTTCTATAAAAACTCATTCAAAAATTGCACAAAATAAATTTATTGTAAATTGAAATATGTTTAAAAAAAATCCCGCCGGGTTTGTTTGTGGTTCTTCCCGGGACAGAGGTATTTTTTTCGAACTAGTGGTAAATAAAAAAAATAGTTTCAATAAGTATTATACAATAATCTATATTGAACAAAAATCATTCATTTCATTTCATTAAGCTGCTATTTTACGCTGGTGTTCATTGTGAGCGTGGTCCTTCCCCGGTCGAGCCGACCCATTCGTGCTACAACCATAATATCGCAGCTGCAGTGTGGCTCTTCTAACACTTACAGGACAGACACTTTTAAGACTATACGTTTTGTGTTTGTAGATCGAACTTATTACTATTCTCTCTTAATATCTTGCAAGACTCTATAAAATTCTAGAGCAAGTAAAGTAAAAGTAAAGTTACAGCCTATATACGTCCCACTGCTGGGCTCAGGCCTCCCCTCATTTCTGAGAGGGTTTAGGGCAAGGAAGTGTCCGCCGCGCTGCCCAAGAGCAAGGGATTAGCAAAATTTAATGAAATTTTCGTGGCAAAACATTCAGTGGGAACTTACGAGCTCGCAGCTCTTTAGTGCCGCCACGGTACCAAAATGATTAATAAATGCGATAATGTGAGCTCCTAATCCAATTATTACAATTACACTTATAAAAAATATCTTTCTTCTAAAATGAAACTTACCTCTATGTATGCAAACATGTTCAACTCTTCTAGTAATTCCTATATTCTCTAAAAACTTGTGGCTGCCAGCATAAATATCAAATTTGTATTTTTCCCCGAATACACAACTGGCTGGCGTGAGTACAACGTGAGCTTCTATAATGACACCAGTACAAAACATCATGGCGTGAGACAAATAATAAACCTGTTAAGCGGTAAAAGAAAATGTTTCGATCACCAATTAAACATACAGTAATAAAGAAAGCGGTGGTTATTTTAATTCATATTACGTATTTTCCTTAATGCGCTTTAAAAGTTTAATTTTAACAAAGGCGTAATAATATACCTAAAAAGTCCAGTCTTAAAATTCTCCTTTAACGTTTCGACCACGGACGTTGGACTCCTTTGATGTTGACCGCTTGCCAACGTAAGCAAGCTAAATAAAACTTTGTCACTACGCACGAGTGTCCATATTATTTTATATCTTTTCCCCTTCCTACGTCACGGCGGACTTTCCGTGGTTACTAAACGATGTCAATAAAGAGTAAAACTCAAACAATAAAATTATTTATTTTTTTATACGAAAATAAAACAAATTCCACTTTTTTTTTATGGTGACGAAAAAAAAAAAATTATTTTTTTATTTAAAAAAAAAGAAAAGTAAATAATATTTAAAAAAATATTAATAATAAATAACAAACACATTTTTTTTGAATTATTAAAAAAACAAGCAACTTAAACTATAACCACCAAAAAAAAAAAAAAAAATACATTGCGAAATGTTAATTAAGTTACTTAGATGAAGTACCTCTTCTGACAATGATCAACTGACCATATTTTCGCACCTATGTAAGTTCTGCGATGCCCAACGCATGCAACTTGCAAGGCGATTCGTCGGGAATCGCGACTCTTGGCTCGGAAGAAATAGGTAGATAGTGTAAGCAACAAATAACCCTGAAATACGATTCCTAACAGAAATGTGATCATATTCTACTTAGTTAAAAATTTAACAAAGATTTATTTCAGTATTTTGTGTAATTATTACTTAAAATATTTTAATTGTAAAAGACAAATAGGTACCTATGTGTGTAGATACTTGGATAGTGAAGTAAATTTCAACTAATTTTTCTAATAAAGTATTTAGGTATTACTTCTATAGATAAATTATTACTTCTTTTTTGCTATAAGTACCTATCTAACAAAAAACATATATATTATACACCTTTTATAACTTCCTACTCCTTCCTTCAGTAACTTAAAGAATGATATAGCTGAAACCTTCTGTTGGTCATTTAGCTGTCATCCATTCAACTGTAGCATCATATCATTATATCATAGCATCTATCCATTCAACTGTATTTACAGTAGGAACGACTTTTTGGTATTACAATTGATCAAAAATAGGTAATATACATAAAATATATAATTTTTAAATTACGTAAAAACTTTTTTAACTATGTTACCCTACAATTAAATATACTAAACACTAAACAAAAACTATTTCACAAGTATTTACAAAAAAACTATTTACGTAAACAGCGCTAAAAAAACTTCAACATTCAATCGACTACAAAGCGCTAGCCCCGACTGCGTATGTTACCTTGGGTGCCTCACGATTTTAGGTAATTATTTCACGCAGTTAGCAGGTGAGAGTGATAGGGGGCTGACCACGGTAACAACTTCCGAATATTATTAGAAGCTGTAGTTTACTAGAAGTGTAGACATATTGTTTTAGCTACAAACATGAATGTGGAATGCAGCGCGCAAAGCGGCGATGGGGACCGTCACCCGTCGCGCACAGCCCGACACGGCGGAAGGTGGAGGACGGAGTGCAGAGTTGGCACGTGGAATGTTAGAGGGGGCATGAGAGATAAGACGAATGAGTTGATCGAAATAATGAAAGATAGAGAATTAGATATCGTGTGTATGTCGGAGACCAAATGGAAAGGCAGTGGTACTGAAGAGCTCCCTGGCGGGACGTTAGCTATATGGTCCGGAGTCCCGCAAAGCGAGAACGCCTGTCAGGGAGTGGAGGTGCTGTTGTCGTCCCGGTTGGTCGATCTTATGACTGAATACAAGCTTGTGAACTCAAGACTTCTCTGGGTTCGCTTTAAACTGGGACTGACGAAGTTATTCCTTTTGGCTGTTTATGCGCCGATGGCTTCGTCGTCCAGGGCTGTGCTGAAGGAGTTTTGGGAGAATGTAAGAGAACTTCTAGATTTGGTTAAGGGAAACGAAAGAACTGTTGTATGCGGTGATTTGAATGGATGGGTAGGTATCGCTCGACCAGGATACGAGTCGGTGCTTGGAAAGTTTGGCGATAAAAGGGTTAATGATGCTGGCAAGCTTATACTGGCTGTATGCAAGTAAAAGGGTCTTCTTGTGACAAACACTATGTTTAATCACATGAAAATCCATATGTACACTAGAGAAAGAAAGAATGAGAGAAGTATGATTGATTTGTTCCTGGTGGATGACCGACTGCGAAAACAGGTGATGGATACACGAGTGTTCAGGGGTGCTGACCTGGGAACGGATCATTATCTAGTAATTACTAAATTTAGGGGTTTGTTCGCGGGTTGGCGCTACCGGACGGCAGTAACAGAACCAAAGTCGGTCTGTCGCATCCGAAGCTGGAAGCTTTAGAAAGCGGATACTAGGGACAAATATCACACGAGGGTAGCCGAAAAGCTTGACACCATCGATGGCAGGAAAGAACGTGTGGCGAGAACATGGCAGAACCTTAGTGATGGAATGGTAAGTGCAGCGGAAGAAGTATGTGGAACGACAAAAAGAGGTAGTAGTAAAAGAAGAGATGCATGGTGGAATGATGAAGTGAGAGAAGCTGTAAAAAAGAAGAAAAAAGCATGGTTAGACTACTTGGCCTCTAGTAACGATAAGCATATGAGAGAGAAGATGAAAGAAAGATATAAGCTGCAGAAAGTTCATGCGAAAACATTGATTGAGGAAGTACGTGAAAGGTGTAGAATAGAAGCGGACGAGAGGTTGTCGCACAACTTTAGGGAAAATTCCAAACTCTTCTGGAAAGAGGTTGGAAGGTCCCAGAGTGGTGCGACAGCCTTAAGAATGAACAAAGTGCTTTCGAGAACCAATGACGTCCTCTCAAAAAAACCGGACGTCATGCAGCGATGGAGCGAATTTTATAGAGAAATGTATGCGTGTCATGATCTTAGTGAAGGATCCGGGGGTGAAGCCGTGATTGGCACGCCAGACACGGACCTCGATGACACTGAGGTCATCAGCATGAAAGAGATTGAACGTGCGATTCGAAGTTTGAAATGTGGTAAAGCTGCGGGACTAGACAGAGTTACTGCTGAAATGGTTAAGTACGGTGGGCCTCGAGTCTGGGACAGCTTTCATCTGCTGTGCAATTTGTGCTGGCGGACGGGAGATGTCCCGTATGATTGGCGATCCGCGGTCATTGTGCCTTTATATAAAGGTAAAGGTTCACATTTTGACTGCGGGTGCTATCGGGCGATCAGCTTGACCAGTTTAGTAAGTAAAGTTTACTCGAAGGTTTTGACACGTAGGATGCAAGAGAAATCGGAAAGATTCTTATGGGAGGCACAATGCGGATTTAGACCTGGAAGAGGATGCACGGATCAAATGTTTTCTCTCCGCATGATCACGGAAAAGCTTCTGACTGTTAACCAGAGGATTTTCTGTGCTTTTGTGGATCTGGAGAAAGCATTTGATAAGGTTATAAGGAAGAAAATGTGGGAACTGTTGCCGGGATATGGTGTGGATGGTCGATTGTTAAGGGCTGTGCAGTCACTTTACTATGACTGTAAAGCCTGTGTGCGGGTAGGGCATGACCTGTCACCCATGTTTAGCGTCCAAGCGGGCGTAAATCAGGGTTGTGTCATGTCTTCCTGGCTGTTCATACTGTATCTCGACAGCTGTTTACAGAAGCTGAAAAATAGCTGTTTGGGTGTGAAATTGGGTGACATTAAAGTTAATTGTCCGCTGTATGCTGATGATGCAGTGCTTATTGCACCATCAGAAGCAGAACTGCAGGCATTAGTCACGTGTATGAAAGAGGAATGTGAAATTAAAGGTCTCCGTTTGAATGCTAATAAAACTAAGGTTCTGGTATTTGAAAAGGACGAAGAGAGAACGAAATGTGAAATAAGGGTAAATCAGGAATGTCTAGAACAGGTAAATGAAATTGTATACTCGGGGAGTGCTTTCAGCCGGGATGGAAGATGTGATTTAAATGTGGATAGGCGTGTCGCTGCCGGAAACAAAGTCAATAGTGCCCTGAATGCATTAGTCAAAAGGCAAGGCGTGGTGAAGAGTGCACGCCTTGCAATACATAACGCAGTGTTGGTACCGACTTTGTTATATGGCAGCGAAACCTGGGTATGACAGAAGAAGCATAAAAGCAAGTTGAATGCAGTGGAGATGCGATCTCTTCGTAAAATGTGTGGCGTTACCATAGCCGACCGAAAGCGAAACGAAGAGATTCGCAATATGGCAGGATTGAAAGATTACCTTATCACAAAAATTGATAGGGGCGTACTCCAATGGTTTGGGCACGTTGAGCGAATGAGTGAAGACCGAATGGTGAAGAAAATATATAGAGCGAAAGTAAATATTAAAAGGTGTCGAGGTAGACCGAGACTGACTTTCGAAGACCATGTGAGCAAATTGCTCGAAGAGGGGAGGGTCAAGAGTACTCGGATACCTAGACGTGCATGTATTAAGAAGTTAATGAACCTGAAAGAAGCGAAAGAGGTATGTAAGGATCGTGACACTTGGCGATCTGTTCTCTCTGGCTACCCCGTTAGGGATTGTGCGTGAAGATAAGTAAGTAAGTAAGTAAGTACAAACATGAAACTGATCTTACTACAGCCTGTATATGAATATATCTTGAAGAACAAGGAATCGGAGAAACTCTTTAACGATAACTGATTTCGTTTTGAATTTATGTATACACGTTAAAATTAGGTAAGAAAATTTAATCATGACGGTATTGTACGACCTGATGCTTATGGATATGTACGCTTGCTGATGCCACGGAAAATAATCTTAACAGTTACCTACTAGTATTTCTTAGAAATTTCATATGCTCGTTGAAAACTACAAGCAAACGTTATCATAAGTTTGGCCTAAAATGGTCGCCAGAATCACCCTTTCTTCGAGTTACTGGTAACAATTTAAAAAACTGCATACATTTTGTGACTGAAGAAGCAAAAATAACTAAAATGATGACCTGATTATGCAGCCAGGACTTTCTCCACACGAGTAAACTTCTTGACAGTTACATTGTCTTCGGATTTAGTAAGCGCGTTGGGATTCATTGGCAAAATATAACAAGGTTGATCTGATGCTGTAGTCTTCTCTCGGCAGGGTTTTATAAAGGTAAGTGGCACCCTTTTATTGTCTAAACTTTAAAAAGGTGACAACGTAATGACATGACGTGACGAAAGTGCGTAAGGCTTAATGTAATAGCCGCTAGCAGGAGAATAGTATTTTCTGCACTAGTCAATTAACATCATCTTGTGGCATGTGTAATGATTTAAAGATTTAAAACAGGCAAGACGAATAAACACTAAATACAATTAAATAATGAGTACGGAACCGTTGTCATATTTATACGTATATTACTAGCAATATTTCTTAAATATAAATAATTTTACGGATTTTATCGCGTTTATAATAGGTCCTTACATATGAAATTAGCGTTTTGTACGGGAGGATTATAAAGTAAATTTTTTTGTAAAATATAAAATGTCCTCCAGACCGAATTTCGGCCACGGCGGCCTGCCTCAACGCAGGCTAACCATCAGCGCAGGACAGGATTATAGTCCCCAAGTGTATGCGCAAGCACAGGTGCACTATCTATTCCCTCACTCTCATAATCCGATGGCATGGTAAGCCGACACGACCGAAGAGAGACCAGACGCAGGACCAACGGATTTACGTGCTTTCCGAGGCACGAGGGTGAGACACCGCCAATTTCCTCACTCTGGGCAGCTACTGAGAATTTCTTGACGGAAAAACTCAATAATTAATTTTTTGGCCCGAGCCGGGATTCGAACCCAGGACCTCATAATCAGCAGCCGCAACTACGACTACTAGACCAACGAGGCAGTCAGTTTGTAAAATATATTTAATTAATCAAAGTATGCACCGTTGTTATCTATGCACTTTTGCCATCTCATAGGTAGTTCATTGATCCCTTTACTAAAAAGCCATGGGGACGAGAATCAATAAACTCTTTGAAGGCGGTTTGGACTGCCACATCGGAGTTTAATTTTTTTACTTGTAAGAGTTGTCCAAATTACGGAAAAAATGGTAATCTGTTGGAGCAAGATCCGGGGAGTACGGTGGATGTCGCAGGTACTCCAATTGTAGCTCATCTAACTTAGGTGTTGTTTGTTGTGCAGTGTGTGGTCTTACGTTGTCGTGAAGCAGAAGTGGCCTAGAGCGATTGAACAATCTCGGTTGTTTAGCAGCTAGTTCTTCCTTCATGGTTTGCAGTTCCTGACAATAGATATCTGCCGTAATCGTTTGGCCGGATTTTAGAAAGCTGTAATGAACGACACCGGCGCTAGTCCACCAAATACTCAAAAGTAACTTTTTCTGAGTCAATTTTCGTTTAGGGCAGGATTTGGCTGGTCCTCCAGGGTTCAGCCATTGCGACGAACGCTTCCGATTATCGTACAGTATCCACTTTTCATCACAAGTAATGATTCGATTTAAAATCCTTTCATTTTTGTGTCGCTTAAGCAAAGTAACACAGCAGTCTACGCGTGTATGCAAGTTTGATTCACTCAATTCACGAGGTACCCATCATTCAAGTTTTTTTATTTTCCCGATTTGCTTCAAGTGTAATGTACAGCTTTATCACTTACCCCGAAGCCTGCAGCTATCTCTGAAGTGTTTTGTGATGAATTCGCTTCTACAATAACCTTTAGTTCTTCATTTTCCACTTTGGTCTCCGGCCGTCCCCGGGGTTGGTTCTGAAGGTCGATATTTCCAGAACGTAAATGTTGAAACCAAAAACGTACCGTGCTTTCTTTTGCGACACCAACGCCGTACACATCATTAACCCTTCGAGCTGTTTCTACAGCACTGGCACGATAGAACTTGTACTCGTAAATATATCCATATTTCATGTTTTCCATTGTTCGGTAATAAGCGACGCCAAAGAAAAAAATAATGAGGAAACAACAAATGAATGACTGTTTTCAAAACTCAAATGTACCAGCTAAATGAATTTATAAATTTGAATTTGGAATTCTTAACCAAAGAGGAGATATTTCAGATCCAAGTGGTCAGTACGACAAAACGCTAATTTCATATGTAAGGACCCAATATTAACTTATTTCTAATTCTCGTTTCTTTACAGCAAACATGGTCACAGCGAGACTAGGTCCCCGAGTTATACTACGCACGATAAAATCCGTAAAGTTAGTTTTATTCAATGTCTAGTATTCGTAATTATAAGAAATCATTATAATTAATAGAATCAAGTGTTACTTTGCGGAAATCCATTATACTAAACTTGGTAACAAATATTAGTGGTGACGGAATCAGTGCACATAATTGAGGGAGGGTGGGAGATGCTCTGCAAACTCGGTAAGACACATCATTTTATTTTATTGAGCGGATATGTGCGAGGTACTTCTTACTAACTTTAGAAATCATTATGGTTTGACTAAACAAGTTAATAAAATAATTTTAGCATTTTATTCACTTATGATATAGACAACGAGAGCCGTGGTAGCTCAGGGGCTAAGCGCTCGCTGTACATTTCCCAGTACGCTAGTAACCAGGGTTTGATCCCCGCCGACACCAATGAAATTATTAATTGCAATTTGCAATTTTAAGTGCTGATTTACCACGTGCTCGGCTGTGTGGGAAAACATCGTGAGCAAACCTGCATATCTGAGAAATAAAAAAATAAAAATTTCGAAACATCTGAGGTTCGCCAACACGCATTGGGGCAGCGCGGCGGACATTTCCTTGTCCTAAAAAGCCTCTCAGGTATAAGAGGAGGCAAGTATATATAGGCTGTAACTTTGACTTACAATATACTGTGCCTCTAAGTCATCTGCGGCGCGTCCAACAAAACCGGCAGCATTTTCAAAATCTATGTCCACTGTAAAAAAAACTTAATAATAACTAAGAAGGAAAAGGGATTAGTAGTTGACACTCATATAAATAGAAATACTTTTTACAAGAAATCAAAAAGAAACTTATGTATAGATTTTTCAGTAAGCGGGTTGTTAAGCCGAGAAAGGCGACAACGCTCTGTTGAAGAACTGCGGATCGATTTCCCTTCTGAGCCTCGTCTACTTGCTGTTTTTAAGAGTCATTACGAATCATCTCGCACGCAGACTCGATGACTTCCAGCCTCAGGAACTAGCCAGTTTCCGGGCATTAGTACCATAGAGCACTTACACACCCTTCGGAAAATTGTACATAGGACCGAAGAGTACAGTCTATCACTTTGCCTTGCGCATGTGGATTATGACAATGCCTTTGGTTCGAAATTTCGGCTGTCCTACAATTGCTTCAGGGCTGCCACGTTGAATGTCGGTATATCGAAGTGCTGAAGTGTTTGTACAGAAAGGCTACGATGGTTATATACATACCGCATCATTCCTTCATAGAGGCGATGTACTTCTCCCCTTGGTCCCCCCAGACTGAGCAACAACCAGAAGGTTCGAAACCCCAATGATTGTCCGGGTGGAGGCCTAGGTACTTCATGTACCGCCCCACTCTGACTTCAGACCCACTCACGTGGACGTACGAGTCGGGTGGTCCCTTGCCGCGTCGTAATTTATGAAACCATAGGGCCTCGGTCTTATGAGGGGTTATTTCCAATCCCAACTTGTGGATTTTGGCGATGATGACTTCCGCTGCAAGCTCTACAAGTTCCTTGTGAGCTAGGTCTCTAACCGTTATAACCGGAAGAAAACTATTGGTGCACTTCTGTGTGATACCGCAAACAGGTAAGAACGTAGAACAGTGTGAACAAAGTTGAACAATAAGTAAAAGAAATATTTGTGATTTCATGGATGTATAAAGTGATACCTAAATAAGGTCCAAAAAATGTCACAGTTTAATACTTATTCTATATTAAATTTATCAGAAATAATTACAGAGTGTTGCAATTCCACCAATCTGTCCCGCACCCATCCTGCGATTACAACCACGTACGTACTTGTATGGAACGGAAATGAGAACATAATCTACAAAAGAAATGTAAACAGTGTTCTAATTTTAATTCAAACCCAGTTTATCGCTTTCATAACAATGCTATATTAATTACGTTCTTTTAAATTGCACTTTAAAGGAACATAAACTACTTACGTACCTAGGCCAAAATAAAAAATAATTTACAATACATAAAACCTTTTACGACGACAATTTGTCATGTCCTATTAAAAATCCTTAAAATCGCAAAAAAAAAAATTGTGGGTCACTCATGGGCAAAAAAACTATCCTATCTCTCAAGTTGGACCAAACTGCACACGGTGTGCAAATTTGATTAAAACCGGTTAAGTAGTTTAGAAGCCTATCGCGGACAAACAACATGACACGTAATTTATATATATTAAGATAAACAAGCAAAATATTAGCGGTGGCTGCTTAAGATAATCCGTCGTTTCTACGCAGTTATGGAAATAGGCAACAAGCAGAACATATTTGAATAATTAACATAAGAGAATATTATAATATCTATAAAAAATTAAAATACTTCTAGCTTTGCATTGCCTGCTTGCCTTGCTTCCGTGACTTTCTGTGCACTATGCACGTCAGTGACTTATGTAACATAATTTTAAATAATAAAGTAGATCTGTGCTTTGCTGCGGAAGCAAGGCAGACCTGGCAAACGCTCTGATCTGACGAATATGTCCCACTGGAAGTTAACCAACAAAAACAGTGGGATATTCGGTTTAGTACGGCGGAGAGAAGATTTGTTTCATAATTTCCATATTGAACAAGATTAGGCCCGCTTTATAGCTGTTTCAGCTATGGAATCCAGTCACTGGTACACACGCTTCATCATCAAGTAATCTCAACTCGTTACTTAATTGGGAAAGCTTCCGACTAGGAGCGGTATTTCTTAACCTCATCAATGCCTCTGTGGTTGCAGCGACGGCGAGTTTGGGCTCCACTGACTTTCATGTAAGAAAAATGCTGGCAGGTTTTTTGATCACGATTCTTTATGCGAAGTCATCCGAAAATTTCTTGTGTCTATAAATGTTCCCTCGGTTTCAGAGCCTTGTGGAAAATTTAGAGACGATGGCAAGAGACTCGACGGGATGACTTTAGTCCCTTGGGAGGGAGATAAATCCCTTGGAAGTGCGGGATGGCACTTTCGTCTCATCTCAGGGGACCCTCATTTTAAGCCGACGGGGGGGGGCATCAGAGACAGTTAAACTAAGTGGTGCAAATATGAGTCTATGAGATATGACTACATATTTGTGTCATTTACTGTAGAGACTATGGGTCCGTAGGGTTTACGTGCGGTGAAGTTCCTAAAGGAACTGGATCTGCTGGATCTGGATCTGTCGCTGCTGGTGATGAGAAATCTAGTTCTTTTCGCGTTATAAGCCTAAGTATAGCCATTCAGCGTGGAAACGCAGCTAGCATTCTTGGCACAATACGGGAAGTAGGGATTGCACGGTAATTTAAGTTTTAGTTTTAGATTTTTCTAATCATAATTTTTGAATATTGTATATTTTCAATGTTATCTAAATAAGTACACTCTATGTATGCTGAAGGAACTGTAGCAGTACAAAAAAAGATTCCCGGTCCACCGAAGCTCTGCCTTTCACACTGCCGACGATAATAACAAAGAGGCAGTTGGTGCGAAGAACGTAGAAGGGCCGACGAGAGTAGGTATCCTATAGCAATATATATAAATATTACGAATTGTCTGAGTTTCGAAGAAAGGATAAGGACAATGGAATCCTCGTATACGGCGTCTAGTTTGGGATAGTGACGAACTATCCCAAGGAAGGTTCGATCCAATTTTAATTTTTAAAATTATCCCCCACAAGTCTCTCATCAACAACTTTGTAAATATCTTGTCGCACTATGAGGTATCTACTTCCTTAAATTCACTAGCATTCGTTGAAGTCATCATATATTTATTAATAGAATCATTCCGATAATAAAGAATAACTTGTTATAGCCTCGTTGGTCTAGTGGTGGTGAATGTGATTGCTGATCACGGGGTGGAACCTTATGATATCGGTTCGAACCCTGGGTCGGGTCAAATTTTCTGTCAAGAAATTCTCAGTAGTAGCCCGGAATCAGGTATTCAGTCGGTACAAATACTATAAATATATTAATAATATGCCAAATGCCGAATATGAAACGAATATTACGTCCATCTCTAATAATGATTTAAATAAAATAAAAAATGACTAAAAACTAAAAAGAAAAAATTAATTTCCGTACAAATAGCTCAAGGTTATATCTACACTAAAAATTCGTCTAGGTATATAGTTAGTATAGTTTTCGTTCTTATTTCATTTCCTATTTTCCCCCTTTTTCATAAGTTTAAATGAGACATCCTCTACAGTATATTTAATAGAAAAAGAATCATAACGTAAATCGGTCCACAATCGGCAACGATGTCGCGTAGTAAGCTACAACTTAAATGCTACTTATTATGTTTATTAAAAAAATACTACAGTCGAATTAAGAAATGAAAAGCCGTGATAGCTCACGGGCCAAGCGTTCGTATTCAATGTTATAATACACCGAGAGCCCAGGTTCGGGTAAATTCCAATTTTAGGTGCTCATTTTACCACATGCTTAGCAATGAAGCAAACGTTATTAGAAAACTTGCATGTCTGAGGAATAAAAATATTTTAAAGACATGTGAAGTCCAGAAAGATAACAAAAACCTCTAAATAATTACTGACCCAATATCTGCTTTTGAAAACATGGGTACTTGAAAGGGTAGTCCATAATCGTTCATATTATATAATATTAATTTTACTCTATAAGTGTTAGAGCGACGCTGCAGCTATATTTATGGTTGTACCATGAATGAGTCGCCTCGACCGGAGAGACCACGTTATCACAGAGTACACAGATATTCATCCACAAAGAATTTTTTAATAATTTTACGTATTAAAACTGATTTCATTATTATAATAAATTAGGGAAACAAAATTGTAAAATATCTTTAACCCCATGAATATATGTTCGGCCAAGCCTCAGCCAACGCGAGCGTAGGCAAATTGAAACAGGGCGAGTGATACAGTTTACACGTTGGTCAAGTCCGAAAGAGACCAATGCCAAGGCAATGTTTACGAGTTTTTGTGGAGTTATCCACATGTTGGCCGTAATTAGTCGTCATTGAGAATAATTATAGCCGGCTTAAGGACAGCTCATATAATTCTTACAATATATTAGTTCTTTTTGAAGGATGACATTGTAATCTTGTTTAATAAATACCCTTCTAGTACATGTTTCCTATCGCGGTTTAGTTTTAGTAATTAACATTTAATTTATATACACCTCATAACACGCATATCATTTTTAGCGAAGTTCATATTAACAATTTTTGTAGTTTATTTATGAACTAAGTAGTAGGGCCACATTTCCGTCTATGGTATATCTATAGTCACAGTTGATGCCTGGTACATAGCACTAACGCCATCTATTATCAAATAAATAAATAAATCTAAGTTTTAAAGAAAACTCCGCACTCGAATTTTCTACACTTAGTCGATCGGGACCGGTATTTGATGATTCATTTGTTGTTATCGATAATGGCGTTGCGCCCGCGCAACATGCTCACCGCCCTGCCTCTGGGTCATAAATCATAGCTCGGCCTAGCAGGGCGTCGATGTTGTGTCTTTCCTAGAGTAGAGTAGTGGTGTTGGGAGTAGTGTTGCTGGGATTAGTGGTGACGGGATTAGCATACGCAATTGAAGGAGGGCGGGAGGTGCTCTTCATACTAGGTAAGACACATCATTTTATTTTATTGAGCTGACGGTTGCAAAGTAACTATTAATATCATTAGTATAATGGATTTTCGTATGATAACGCCTGATTCTATTGATTAACAGATGATTGAAGTGAATATTTTTACACAACTACAATTTTAGAAGGCTATGTGTGTATACTCATCTGTTCCTTCATATCTTCTAAACAGGTAGTTAGCTCATCGTATTGTTGCGCATAATTAATGCCCGGTCCATGGTGAGTTACCACTAGCACTATCTAGTATCGAGTAGCAAAACTAGGAGAGTCAAGATCTTTCTAGAAATTTCCATGCTAGAACTTTCTACACCCAGTCAGTCGAGATCGGTATGTACTCGAACATTCTAGATGTTTCATGTGAGACTATATAGGATAAGGCCGTGTTGCTCTAGGATTACAGTAGGCAATTTTAGACTACTTTAAAGAAAAACATTTAAAAAAATTAGGCGAATTTTTGTTACGTGGCATTGGCAGCACTGAGCTCCAGCTGACAGATAGCTGTTTATTTGTTGAGGAGTTTTGGCGGGGACTTGGCCGACGACGGACTGTCGCTCCTGTTTTGTCGCTTGAATAATGGTTTGAAGTGGATTTTAATTCGTCAAAGTGATGTGATTTTGTGAATTAATTGTCTGCGCGTGTGAACTATTAGAGAAAATGACGAAACAAGTGCTTTGATGTCGATATAAACCTCAAGTCATTTTGATCGCTTAGGCGCCCTATGAACTTGAGTGGCTGTCGTCATCAACTGACCGCTGGGTTGAGCTGTCGTCAAAATCTCCCAAGGGCTTCGCAATGTGATGCATCAGCTATTGTGAAGAAAAGGAAAAAACGCGGGAACTTTGAAACTGGACTGGTAAATCTATATGGATTCATCATCATCATCACAGCCCTTCACAAGTCCACTGCTGAACATAGGCCTCCCCCAAGTAATGCCACAAAGCACGGTCCTGAGCCACCTGCATCCATCGACTTCCTGCATATCTTACCAGGTCGTCACTCCATCTAGTGGGGGGTCGCCCTACACTACGCCTACCGGTACGAGGCTGCCACTCGAGAACCTTTCTTCCCCATCGGTTATCGGTTCTTCGAGCTATATGGCCGGCCCATTGCCACTTCAGCTTACTAATCCGTTGGGCTATGTCGGTCAATCTGGTTTTACTGCGGATATCCTCATTTCTGAGTCTATCACGCAGAGAAACTCCGAGCATAGCCCTCTCCATAGCTCGCTGAGCGACCTTGAGCGTCCTCATACGGCCAGCAGTGAAGGACCACGTCTCTGATCCGTAAGTCATCACTGGCAACACGCACTGGTTGTACACTTTAGTTTTCAGAGATTGAGGTATACCTGACGAGAAGATATGTCGTAATTTCCCGAACGCTGCCCAGCCGAGTTGAATCCGTCGATTGACCTCTCGGTCGAAGTTGGACTTACCTAGTCGGACTATTTGTCCCAGGTAAACGTACTCGTCAACAACTTCGAGCATAGTGCTCCCAACAACTACCGGCATAGGTGTGACATGGACATTAAACATAATCTTTGTTTTGTCCATGTTCATCTTAAGACCTATCCGTTGGGAGGCACTATTGAGGTCATTGAGCATAGTGCTTAAGTCCTCCAGCGATTCTGCCATAAGGACTATATCGTCGGCAAATCGAAGGTGAGTGATGTACTCGCCATTGATGTTAATACCGTATCCTTTCCAGTCCAGTAGCTTGAAAACGTCTTCCAAAGCAGCGGTGAAGAGTTTCGGGGATATAACGTCACCCTGTCTTACACCTCTCTGCAGTTGGATAGGTTTCGAGCTCTGGTTCTGTACTCGGATAGCCATCGTAGCCCTACTGTACAAACACTTCAGCACTTCGATATACCGACAGTCAACTTGGCACCGCTGAAGGGTTCTGTACAATCTGCCGCAGGGTATGTATGTGGTCTATGGTACTGAAGCCTTTTCGGAAACCGGCTTGTTCGGGAGGCTGGAAGTCGTCGAGTCTGCGTGCGAGACGATTCGTAATGACTCTCGAAAACAGCACGTAGACGCGGCTCAGAAGGGAAATCGGTCTGTAGTTCTTCAAGAGAGCGTTGTCGCCTTTCTTAAAGAACAAGACCACCGCACTTCTGCTCCACGCCTCTGGAGTAGTGCCACCATGGAGGACGGAATTGAAGAGCTTCTGAAGGACTTCAAGTACCGGTGTTCCACCCGCTTTCAGAAGCTCCGCTGTAATTCCATCCTCGCCTGGGGCCCTGCCGTTTTTAAGGTGCTGGAGAGCCATTCTAATCTCGCTTAGACTGACGTCCGGGATATCATCGGAATAGTGTCGGATAAGACTTGCTCTTGGATCGTTACTCACACTTGCGTGTGGCTCCAACGATGATGTGTACAGCTGCCCATAGAACCTCTCAATCTCACTCAAAATCTCAGGTGTCCCGGAAACGATGCTGCCACACTCAGTCTTCAGCCTTGACAATTGGCTCTTTCTGGCAGACAGATCTCTGGCAAAGACTTTGGAGCCCTGGTTCCGCTCGATCGCTTCTTTAATACGAGCAGTATTAAAGTTGCGTAAGTCTCGCCGCATGCATTTGGAGATCTGTCTGTTCAGTTGCCTGTATGCTGTCAAATCTGTTGACGATTGCAGCCTCATCTCCCGTCTAACAGCCATGAGATTAAGAGTATGATCGGAGAGTTTTTGTGTTCTTCTGCGGCGGGTCTTGCAGAACTTAGCTCCGACCGCATGGACAGTTTCCACGAGCTTGTCATTCATATCGTCCACTGCATTGCAATCTTGTAGGCACTGAAAGCGGTTGTGTAACTCGAGCTGAAAGTTTTCGGGATTTTGGATCAGAGCACGAGGGGGGACGGAGCGTTGACTTCATTAGACGAGACCTCTCCAACTTAACGTTTAGGTTCAGTGTGCCTCTAACCATTCGGTGATCGCTGCCAGTTTTCACCCTTGCGATCACTGAGACATCACTGAACAGTTGGCGTCTGGTCGTCATAATGAAGTCAATCTCATTTTTTGTCGAACCGTCGGGGCTCGACCAGGTCCACTTCCTGTGGGGCCGCTTCTGGAAGAAAGAGTTCATCATAAAGAGTCCCTCTTTCTCCATAAAGTCGGCCAGCTGCTGGCCCCTTCGGTTCCGTTGCCCTACTCCAAATTTCCCTAACTTCAGCTCACCGCTTTCTCTTGTGCCTAGTTTTGCGTTGAAGTCTCCCATCAACACCGTGTAGTGGGTTTTGGAGGAATGTATGGCTTTGGAAATATCCTCATACATTTCCTCCACCTCTTCATCGGAATGTGCCGACGTTGGTGCGTAAACCTGTATGACCTTCAGCGAATACCGTTTGGTGATTCTGAGTATCAGGTACGCGACCCTCGTCGACACACTCTCAATCTGTACAACGTTGTTGACGAGAGACTTGTGGACGATAAATCCGACACCTCCTTGGGACAGATGGTCGCCCTCCCGGTGATAGAACAAGTTGCCGGATTCGAGAATCACCGTGTCCTCCCCCTCTCTTCGGACCTCGGATAATCCTATAATACTCCAGCGCAACTTGTCTATCTCTTCTTCCAGCTCCAGGATCTTCTCGTCAGTCCTCAGTGTGCGTGCGTTAAATGTTGCCAGGTCGAGTCGTCGTAGGTGGCAACCGAACCTCCACCGGAGATTCTTAGCATCCCCTGCCCCGCCGTTACCATGGTCGCCACCGTAGCCAGGAATAGCGGGGCCGCCGGGGACTGGGGGCCGTCTATTTGTGTAATTGTTCATGGGGGGTATATTGCCATAGTTGCCACGCTTGGCGAGCGGGTTGGCAACCGCAGTTTTTTTTGTCGTACAGTTGCTGTTATCAGGAAGATGCTGCTGCCCATCTCCTGCCTGTCTCCCTCTGTCGCCTCTTACGACACCCACGGGAAGATATGGGGTAGTGGATATTCTTAACCGCCACTACACGGTGAGATATGGGGTAGTGGATATTCTTAACCACCACTATATGGATTGAAACTTATAAATGATTATAATATAAAGAAGGCTTGGCTTTAGCCTGTAAGTGCATAGGAGTAGGATCATATGCCGTTATAATTAGCAAATAAATTATTGCAGACCACTAATAACTACATTTATTAACACGCAAGTACAAGTTAGACAAGAGTACACAATAGTATATGATTGCATTGGAAACATTGCTTATATAGGTGAAAATAATTAATAATAATTAAAATCGCGATATGTTGTTTATCTTAAACTACACACTGATTGGTCGTATTCACAGTGAACACAACACATGCGCAAGCACCCATTGCACTCCGCCCACGCCGCCGTCGATGAGAATAATAGGTACCAGGCGGCCATCGAACTCTGCTGGCGCTACGACCAATGGGAACGCATGCGCCCTAATGAGTGGACGTTACTTAGCGACGACGGAGGATATCGTCCGATGTATGACGTAAGGGTGGCGTGATGTTTAGGTCCGTTCTAGGTACTAATTTACTCACCACACTACTCCCCCGGTGAGACCGTAACTACGGGCGATAGTGATCCGGAAACCTTACTGTGCGTCCGCTTCTGGTCGTTTTGGTGGTAGTTTGACCATAGTCACTTAGGTTTTGTGGAATGGTCTCTGCGGTCTCTCTGGCGACATACGCTGGCTTCTGGCGGTCTATTGAGATCCTTTGTGTCCTGCCCTGGATTTCTACGTCGTATGTTTTGGAGTCACGTCTCAGGACTTTGAAGGGACCTGAGTAGGGTGTCTCGAGTGGTCTTCTTGCGGGACCTTGGAGGACGAAGACATGCGTCGAAGTTCTGAGGTCTTTGGGCACATAAAATATTCGACTGGAACTGCCATGCCAAGACGTAGGTTGTGGGGTCAATCTACTGACGTGCGCGCGTAGTCGACCAGCCACGGTTGTCGGGTCCGCCTCCGTATTGGGATTTGGGAAAAGAACTGTCCAGGCAAACGGAGTGGTTCACCGTAGACTAGCTGTGCTGCCGATGATTGCAAGTCCTCTTTCCAGGCGCTACGGATACCGAGGAGGACCCATGGTAGAACTTCAACCCAGTTTGAAGACGAGTCGCAAGTGATGGCGGACTTCAATTGGCGGTGCAGTCATTCCACGAGACCATTGGCAGCTGGGTGATAAGATGTGGTAGTGTGGTGTGTTGCACTGACCAGTGCAGCGAGCTCCTTGAAAGTGTGCGATAGGAACTGTCTGCCGCGGTCTGTGGTGATGTGTTCTGGACATCCGAAGCGTGAAATCCATCCATTTGTTAGAGCGATGGTGCACGTCTCTGCTGTCATATCCTGGAGTGGGTACGCCTCAGGCCAACGCGTGAAGCGGTCGACAATCGTGAGGCAGTACCTGTACCCATAACATAATGGTAAGGGACCGATCAGGTCGAGATGTATATGGCGAAAGTGTACTGAAGGTAGTATGAATGATGCGAGCAGTGCTGAAGTGTGACCTTGGATCGTTGACAGTGCTGGCACTCCTTTGCCTATTGCCTACAATCCCGCTTAATGCCAGGCCAGACGAACCTCTGCGTCGCCAGCTTGACAGTAGCTTTCGCTCCTGGATGACTCAAGTTATGTACTGCATTAAATACCTGTCTGCGGAACGAAGGTGTGATAAACGGCCGTGGACTCGGGGTGGAGACGTCACAGTATATCTGCAGGTCATGTCCCGATGTTCTAAGCTTCTCCAACTTCAGGGGAAAGCCGTTCTTCAGCAGATCGTGTAGCTCGCTGTCGGTGTCTTGCTCACTGGCTAGGGACTGGTAGTCTAAGGACATAGAAATTTCATTAATGCGGGAAAGAGTGTCAGCGACTATATTATCTTTTCCGGCAATATATCTGATGTCCGTAGTAAACTGGCTGATGAAGTCAAGGTAGCGAAACTGGCGTGGTGAGCAGCTAGTTCGGTGCGTTGTAAAAGCAAACGTCAGTGGCTTGTGGTCTGTTATGACCGCGAAATTTCGTGCTTCGACCATGAAGCGGAAGTGTTTGATGGCTTCGTAGATGGAAAGAAGTTCGCGATCATAAGGACTATACTTCCTCTGGCTTGGACTTAGCTTCTTGGAAAAGAATGCCAGTGGTTTCCATTCGCTGTCCCGGTATTGCTGCAGGACTGCCCCTATTGCTGAATTTAAGCGTCTGTATGAATCGCCAACTCTGCTTGTGAATCAGGGTGTACCAATAGTGTGGCTTCAGAAAGACTATTCTTGCAGTTATTAAATGCCTCCAACAGAGCGGGTGTCATGTTGATAGGTTGTGAACCTTTCGTCTTTGGGCCAGTGAGCATTTGGTTCAATGGGGCTTGAATGGTAGCTGTATTTGTTACTAAACGGCGATAAAAGTTTACCATTCCAAGAAAACGTCTGAGTTTCTTGACGGTTTTTGGTGGGGGGAATTCTCGGATAGCCTGCACCTTCGCATCCATTGGCTGGATTCCCGCTGCTGAAACCTTAAATCCTAGGAAGTTGACCTCAGACTGCCCAAAAACGCACTTGTTGGTGTTTATTAGAACGCCGTATTCCGTCAGTCTTTGAAAAAGTTGCCTGAGGTGTTGCTGATGCTGCGTGCTGTTGGAGCTGTATACCAGGATGTCATCCAAGTATCCAAAACAGAAGTCCAAGAGGAGAACCTCGTCCATGAAGCGCTGGAACGTTTGAGCGGCATTTCTGAGGCCGTAAGCCATGAACGGTAACTCATATAAGCCGAATGGTGTTATGATTGCGGTCTTGCATACGTCAGCTTCGCAAACTGGTATCTGGTTGTAGGCTTTAACCAAATCCAATGTTGAGTAGACAGTACTTCCGGCCAGCTGTTGTGTAAAG